CCCCCCCGGAGTCCGGGCTGGCCGTGCCGTAGAGGTCCGCGACGGGCCCCGGGCTGTTGGCCCCGGGGAATCCTCCTGGCCGCGCTGGGGTGGAGCCTGCCGGGGAAGCGGGTGCGCCAAAATTCGGTTGAGCACTGTAGCTATTCAAGACTGGTGTGCAGAGAATAAAGCTGGGTATGAGGCCGGACGCCTGGCATGCACCGTTATTACAAAGCCAAACACTAGAATAAACAGCCTAGGCCCAACTTCTAACACTTAACCAAGGCCATGCGATAGGAGAGCAAGGACTCAATAATAGTCAGCCCGGACTACTACGAAGCTTAGAGCTCCAAAAATATATATATGGATATATATAAAAAAAAAAACAATCATTCAACACACTACTGCAACCAGAGACTGTAGGTGCTCGTTTTCACCAAATTATCACAAAATATAATAGATATTTTTCAACATCTGACTTGATGCTCATGCAGTAGTAACAAGTTCTCTAGGTCTGGGCACGCCGAGACAGCATTCACATCCCATGCAAACTACAAAGGAACTAGTTTGAGACTACACATTGTGGTAATATTGATATTAAAATGTTGACAGCAAATAAATAACTTCAGTCACATCTAGAAAAAATTGGTTTTGGATCCATTCGAAACTTTTGAAAAAAAACCCGCCCTTTTAAATCAGTAAGCTGTAGAAATATTTCAATAGCTGTTTTATTTTTTTTTCCCTTTAAATGATATGGAATGGAACAGTTTGGATTTTTTTTTTTAAATATGACCAAGGAGAGTGTTGTTTTATTTAATTTTTTTCCCTTTTTATTTGGAGAGCGAAGACCTACCTTCGTCTCCAAAACCATGCTTGGGACATCAACCAAAATTAAACAAATAAATAAAGATCAAAAGCAAAAAGAACTCCAGAGGGTGTATGACGACTCACCTCCTAACGTGGAAGTAAAAGAAAACTTAATTTTTTTCCTCTCTTTTTATGGCTTTTTTTTTTGAGACAGAAAAACAATGTAAATAAGAATGAGACTAGAGAATAAATTTAGATATTAAAGCATGTTAGATGATCAGGCTTCTGGCATTTCTCACAGTCACACTCGGATGTAAAACTCATGAGTAAAAGGTCTCGATGCAAAAGAGGAGTTAGCAGACTAGGATGGAAATGGCTTGCTGGAGCTGGGAGCTAAACCCTGCAGGGTCTCGGCCACCCGCACCCCGGGCCCCCGCCGGCCGGGCAAAGCCCTCCTGACCTGCCACGGCTGCTGCCACCCCACGGTCCAAGCCCCAGCCGAGATTTTATTTTTCCCCCTCGTCTTTTCCTCTGGATTCAGCTTCCCACGTAGCTCCGTCACGCGCTAAAAGGGGTCGGCGACACTGGCCAGCCTGAGCGGACGGAGGTGCTGGGGCAGAAGATCAGCCCGAGGACAACCCCGCTGCCGGGGGACGCAGGGGGCCACCCCGTCTCCTTCCCTCCTGCCCTGCCCGAGCACAGAGACGTATTTTTCAAACGAACGAACCAACTAGCCCAAAAAGTCAAAACGGCAACTGTTGCCTCTGCGCTGACAGGAGAGTAAATTTTATAAAGTAAATGATTTCATGGGGCTCTAAACCGGTAGCAGGGAAAGTAAGTAGGTCATCTAAGCAAGCAAGTTAAAAGAAATAAGGTATGAGAGAGTAAACAGATTATTTTGGAATTCACTGGCAAACAAAGCACCTTTTTTTTATTATTAAAGATAAAATGTCAAGATAACATTTGGCCTTCTCACTCATGAAGAAAAATATCCTGCTGAGATGTTCAAAAGCCCTTTATTACTGTAAGCTAGCACCTCTTTTCTCTTTCTTTTTTTTCCTCCTAGTTCAATAAAATAGATATGGGTTTTACTGCCGTGTCACAAAGAAAACCCAGCTCACCCATTTGAGCAAATCCACCAGCCTCTAAGAGGGACATGACAGCCAAGAACCTGCCCTAAATTGTCAGTTTTTGCCAAGAATGGCGCAGGACCTTAGGCAAGGAGGATGTCAGGACACGTGTTTTAGACGCCGAAATGCAGAGGGCAAGAAAAACCCCAAATCGTAACAATAATGTGCAGAAGTGATCCCCCAAAACACACAGCTCTCACCGAGAAATGCATGAAAGATTTAATTAAAAAAAAAAAAACGCTCAGGTGTAAGGCCAAACTCATCCCCGCTGCTGCCCACCGAAGGCAACAGCAGCACCAGCCACGGCCGTTGCATCTCCCAGACGGCTGCAAACGCTGGCTTTCACAGCCAAAACAGCTGCTTACTCCAGCATCCTTCTGACCGCGGGTATGTAACGAAAAGACAAGGTCATTTCCTATCTGCTGATCACCAGTTTAATGCTACTCATGATGGGAGAGAAACGTGCCTCCTGCGAGCATGCCCACTGACCAACCACCCTGCAAATACTCTGCCCAGGTCCGGGACGCTCGGGCACAGATACCAATAAACAAAATAGAAAAGCTCTCCTGATTACGGGGAGATCAAACACTTCTCATCTGTTAATGATTCATTCAAGCTACGATGCACTGCTAAGTACTCTTCCTCTTACAGTGTCTGTACCTACACTCACCTAGAGCTAGAAACAGTTTTAAGATGACTTTGAACCACCACGAAAGGGACCTCAAATGACTTGGAATTCCAACACTCAAAAATGTGATGCATTTTGAAATACCTGGAAATAAATTTGTTTAACATAAACATGTGAATAATCTCAGGCTAAACTGAAGCAGGAAAAACAAAAATCCTCCAGACACTGGATACTGTCTCAATCCACAAAAATAAGTAAGACTTGCTGGAGTGACATAACTTTATTGCAAAGTTCCTGTTGTCAGCTCAGTAACCTGAGCAAGCAGAAGCCCTCCAAGAACTGCCGTCGCCAGGAGCTGCAGGCATCGGAAAGCACTCCGATTAACACCTTCCAGTTGGAAAAGAATCTGAAACTTCCACAGCTACTTACAATCTGTGGTCAAAACTGGAAATAATTAGGGGAAGGAGAATTTGGGAAGCATACTGCTGAAAAACCAGCTGGGGATTATATTGTCCAAGGAGAGGGGAATGAACCACCTCAAGTTTTTTGAGGTCAGGTAAAGGAGATCTGGAGCAATGGCTTATCCATGCTTCCTCCCTGGTCATGGCAGAGGTACCAGCAGAGCTGGTGCCAGCTCCCGCAACTATGCTTTGCCAGAAGGACCAAGTCAAAAGATCCAGTGTTGCTAGTGGGTCAGCAGAGCCCTCTCCTCCCCTTTTGAGGCCCTCCAGTACGCAGGGAGTCTCGTTAGTCAAAGTACCCATTTGCAGCATGCACTGAAAGGTTCAGGTCCAATTTACCAACCAATTGCACAGGAAACCATCCTGCACAGGACATTTCCACAGCTCTAAGCTTCAGCTCAGTACCTCCAACTTCAGGGTTTCTTCTAGACGTGATTTACAATCCCAAGTGACACCAGGGAGCCTTCCAATAGACAAGGTCAGGAGAGATGCGGAAAAGATTAGATGCATCTGCAAGTCAATGCTAACCCACTTTCATCCGCTTCAGGCCCAAGTATCCCCCACCCTCCAGACAGGCCTACGGAAATAAAAAACGGCAGCCCACGGAGGTGGCAGTGAAGGGAACAAAGCATTTTAATTCTGTGGGCGCTCCACTTTGAATTTGCTGTGCTTTTTCTTACGGAAAAGACTCCGAGCCCTCAGATCCGGGGCTTTCCCTCGGTAGGCGAACGCTGGCCTGCTGGCCAGGGGCGCGGGCAGCCGGCGGCAAGGGCCTGGCCGCCGTGCGCGGCGGGCACAGACCTACTGGAAGAGCCAAGAGAAAAAACAAACATCGTCTCCATCTTCCGGAAGTGATGGGAAGAGACAGAAACAGCATTGCCGACAAGGCTGGAAAGGGGTTAAAGGAGCCTCCGACTTGGTGCCTCGCCACCAGCGACGGTCGACGTTGGGTACGCGCAGCAGTCGGGCTTCACTCTTTCTGTGCGCCGGGTAGGCGAAAGACAGGATTTGCTCCTGGAAAAGCTCCACTGGTCGCTAACGCGGCCGAAAGCTCTGGAACAAGCCCCTTCAGCCTGGCAGTCACAGGCTTTCCTGAAGTCCAGATAAAGCACTATTTTTGAAACAAGCAAAAAAAAAAAAAAAAACAAACAAAGAGTGATGGATGCCTTTTAGGAGGCTGCTTTTAAACTGCGGTCATAAGGGCTGGGGGCCGAGGGGTCTATCGGTAAGAGAAGATGTAATCTTCAGTCTAACTGGGCGGTGGATCGAGCTCGCTGTCACAGACGGCCCGTTCAGCCCCGGCGGACGCAACGCAAGTCCGCGTCTCCCGTC